CACCGAGATCTTCGTGGTCACCCTACATCCCAACTTGGTCAATCTCGGCTCGTCTCCCTCCTGCTGGGACAGCGACGGCCGAGCAGGCGTGCTTCCTGCAGGACTACGCGGGGAGCGGCAGCTTCTTGCATTCCCAAAGTAGACTCGCAGGGGGTGTACGTGGCATAGAAAACCGAACCCACGCACGACAGAGGACGCTTGTAAAATGCAAAGGGAGGAACAAGCTGGAACCACAGCCAGGGTCGGTGACCGCTTTCGGCAATGCCGAGAGGAGCAGTGGAACAGCCCTTCCAAGCAACAGCTGCAGCAGGCCGAGAAGCCTGTGAGCGCCAAGAGCAAGCCGGCAGATCACAGCCTGCTGCTCCCTCATCATCTTCTTCCCCTCTTAAGCAGCCTTGTCAGCCTAGAAAAATTACACCAATCGAAGTCAAGGCGTGAGCAGAATTGATCCAATTATGCCAGCAAAACCTCCCTGCTCTTATTTGAGGCAAGAATGACTTTTTCAGTTTAGTTTGTGACTAGCAACAATCTTTAAATGGGATTATATTGGGGGGTCTGTCTTAGACGGGAACGAATGTGCGTGTCTGAGGACTACACTGCTGTAACTTCTTTCATGGCTAGACAAGGCTTGAGTTAATAAGGGACGGACAGACCCTGCTCTCAGTGCTGGACTCCCCAGGGCACACAGCTTGAAACCATTTCACACTGCGTCCCGAGATTCAAAAAAATGGCAGGAATTCCTCTTGCAGAACAAGAGATGGAAGCAGGCAGTGATGGGCTACTGCCCGAATCGGAGCCCATGTACATGTCAACCCAGGGAACGAGATCATCCCCGTTACAGCGTCTGGGGTTGCAGCGGGAGAAGCCAACCCTCTGCCCGTGCACGCACGCAGACGGCAGCGGGAACATGCACACACCGAGGGGGTGTTTCTTGGGCTACAGCCACCGCCACCGCGTGTTGCAGTAAGCACGTGAGAGTAAGTTTTGTGTAATTTTTTAGAGATTTCGGTTTTAGATTAAAAAAAGGGACTTTATTTCTAATACTTAAATCCTCTTTGCCACTGGATGTCTGAGCAGTGATGCATAATTAGAAAGTGGGGGTCACTGCTCCCCAATAAATTTAAGATGAGCAAAACGGAGACCAAGATAACGCTGCAGCTCTAGCTAACTCACACACGCTAATCCTGCTTTGGAGGACGGCAGGCTCTGCCGGACAGGGAAGGAAACGTTTCTGTTAGGACGTGATTAAGTCTGCAACTCTCTTTTCTTTATCATCACCAAAGAAATCACCACCCACTCCCTGGAAGAACACACTGCTTCACAGGCAATTATTTCTGATCCTTACCAACAGCGTGCCGGGTTCCCAGGCGAGGGAGAGGGGAAAGCAGTAGTATAGTCAAATGGAGAGAAGAAAGGCTGAGGACCCCAGCTCACAAAACAGCTGTCCCACCTATTTTGTTAATATTGCGTCATCTTAAAAAGGCCTTTGGATTAAAAGTGAATTCAGTGCTTTTCCATCAAAAAGATACATAAATCTGTTACCTGACCGAGATGCAGTATGGCCCCCCACCCGCCCCGAACAGCGACAACATGGGACTGGACGTCATTAGTGAACCTGATGTTCTTTGTTTCAGAAGAGAAATAACATACAGATCCTCCATGTGATGCAGACACGTTGCGATACATCAAAATGCAGATTGGCGTGTGCTTCGTTAGCCAGCCTGTCGTCAGTTCTTCTTGTTGAGAACAGAGTACCATTTTGCAACTGCTTTAATTTCGATTAATCAAAGTGAATGAATTCGTGAACACCGAAAGTGAGGATGAGCGTCACTAGCTGTGTCCCACGACCAGGTACGAGGGGTGCGGTGCAGCCCCCTTCCCCAGCCCCCCGCACCCCGCCAGCCTTCCCCAGCCCCAACACAACCCCGGACCTCAACGGAGCAAACCCCAAGCTGAGTCAAGCCTGATTTGGTATTTTAAAACACAGAGAGACACCCACAGCGGGCTAACAGTGAGGCCCAGCAAGACACCTGTTTTCCTTTCCCTATACTTCGCTAAATATAAAATCTTCTCTAGAAATTAGAGACGTCTGACTATCGTGGAGGTTTGAATGAGCACAGTAAGCTTCCTAGAAAACAGCAGGACCGCGGGTGACACTTAGTGCGCTTCACTTGCATCACGTGCCGTAACAGCTGATGGTTCGTAACTGTGGGATGGCGCTTTCCAGCTCACTCGAAACACCTAATAAAAAAGCAGGTTTCTGCCGAGTCCTGACAGTCCAGAAATGAAATGCAGTTCAGCACATATTTGTGATCTCTGCTTTAAATGGCTCCTGGCTTTACCGATAATCACGGTTACTGAGTTGTTAGAGTGATTTAAATTCTTGACTCCTATGGTTAGTACAGTTGCCTTTTTCAGTATTTACCGGTAGCAAATCAAGACGCGACCTTCCTTAAAACAAGGTTACTGCAACTGACTCCTCGGAGAGGAGAGGACATGCAAATCAAAACCACCAGCCAGTATTGCACAACCCAGAATGCCTTCTGGAAACTGCCAGGTCACGAGTGAAAGGCTGGTCCAGCGTTAACGCCTTCCAATTCTGAAAAATTTGACGTAAATTTAGAGCAGCGAAGTGAGCCCATTCAGGGGTTCCTGCTTCGGTGCTCTGTGATCAGCCAGTACAAATGTTTAGTTTCTTGATTATCCAGTTCTTCTCTCTGTCCAGAGAAGACCAACAGGGTAAGGTTTTGCCGGGGGTTCGTTCCCCCATCTAGAGCAGAGCTCAGCAAACATGCTGGGTAGCAGGCTGGGGTTAATGAAACTGCAGTACAAGTCAAACACTTATCTCCTAAAAGATTGAAAAAATATTTTTAAACAAAATAATGTGACATATTTACATAACTCCTTAAGTGCAAACTCTTGTCACAATTCACGCAGTTGAGCTCAATTTAGACTCACTGTACAAGAAGGTGCTCTTTCTTTAATGAAAGAAGAACTCTACTCTGTATTCCTGATTCAGTAACGTGTCCCTTGTGCAAGGCAGTAAATTTCCTGTTTCTTCCCAATGTACTTCCAAAAGCAAAACCAAAATCGAGCCATCCTCTTCCCCGCTTCCCATCCCGGTTACCGCACGACGAGGCAGGAGACACAGAGCTTAGAGGGGCCAATGCAATCATCATGGCAGAAGGCACCGCAGCCCTTGCACATGATCATGGCTTTCAACCTGCAGTAACATTTGGAAGGGGAATCCTCCATGCTGTTGTCTTCAGCGAAGGCTTGAACGGGGATGGTCTGACTGTGGTTGCCAGAGTTCATAGCTTGGCTGGTGGGAATGGTGGTTACAGTCACAGAAAAGGACATGACGTTCCCCATGCTGCTAGACAACTGATTGCATTCAGACAGCCCAGTCATGAGAGACCCTTGGTTCACATCCGGGGAGGTGGAGACATTTATTGTGCCACTGTAACTGGGCCCAATGAGCTGTGCTGCAGCATTTCCAGATAGCTTTGGAGGGTGCGAAGGAGAAAGCAGCGGAGGCTGCTGCTGCGCAGAGTCCAGGGACGGTACAGAAGTGCTGAAAAGCTCCGGATTGCTGTGCATTTTCCCCCTCATGGCATGTGCCATTTGCTCTTGAGCGGCTTGAATAAAATCTCGTGCTAGCGTAGTTCCGTCAAACGCCTGAACGTTCTCCTTGTTGACTGCTGCTTGCTGAGACGTGGCTCCTTCTGTCTTTACACCCTTTTTAGCAAGGCTGCTGTAATCCGAAGAATTTATGCTATGCGATACCTGTTCTTTCTCACACTGACCAGAAACCTGGGCAGCCTGGGGCTCCTCTTTTACACTGATATGTTCACGTTCATCACCAGTACTCTCATCATCTGCATCTCCTTCATCACTGCTGCTGCCGTGGCCAGCTATCTCCTCACATTCCCCAAATTCTGTTTTTGGAGCATCAGCAGGACTGTTCAGACACAAGCGGTTTTCAGGGTTCAAGGAGAAGCCTCTCCTCAAACTCTCTGAACCACGACCATAGGTGGAAATGTTGAGCAGATAATGACCAGACATAGCGGGCTTGGATGTCCTTCTGCCCATGAAACCCAGCATAAATCTCTGGCTGGTGGAGCTGTTTTCTAACTGGAAACCTGAGTGAGTGAGGTTCAGTTGTGAAGGCTGAAGGACTGGCAACAAATTCTGCCTCTGGACCCTCTTGATAAGAGTCTGAAGGATCTGCTCTTGGGTGGTTTTGCTGAGTGCCTCGTGGCACTGGTGCTGGTCAAGGCTGGGGTCCTTTCCCGAGGGGAGCGGAAGGGTCCTTGGAATGTGAGGCAGAGGCCTGTTCTGGCAAAAGATCTTCCCAAGCTGTTGTGTGGGTAAACTCGATTGTCTTTCACTACCCTCGGCTCCAGTGCCCTTCCCCGCCACACTTGTAGCACTGGATGCTGCCGCCGCCCCTTTTTCTTCATGAGAAACTAATGGGACAGTTTTCATTTCTGCTTTGGTGAGGGGCTTCGGCAGGATTTGCTCCAGAGGGACATTCTTGCCTTGAAGAAGTTGGGTGACCAAAGGGTTGTTAGCAGGAATACTGGAGCTTGGTTTTGGGAGGGCACCGCTTGAGCTTGAACTTGCATGAGTTTTAAGGCTAGGTGCTGCTGACAAAGTGTTAGAGGGTGGGACAGATGTCGCAGATGTTACCACACCTCCAGCCTGGGCTTCCGAGCTCGTGGATGTTAGTGACGACATCAGAGGGGAAGGAGATTTGCTTTTAGAAACACCTAAGCTGGTCCCTCCTAAGGCCGTAGGTGCTACCTTAGTTACATCTGCTGTGGGCACCGTGACACAGACTGTTCCGTCCCTGACAGCTGCTGCCCCACAGGCCTGGCTTGGACCTGCCGGAGCAGAAGGTGCTTTCTCTTGTTTCTCACTGCTACCAGCATACGGGGAGCCTGAAACCTGATTTACGGTCATACTGGGGGGGCTCTGTTTTATTCTGTTGATTTTCTCTAATGCCGATACCGCGGAGGAGGAGGAGCTGGTGCCTGTACTGCTGGCTGGAGTTCTGGATTGCAGTGTGGAAGTTTGCTGTAGTTGTGCTCCAGAAGGATTGTGAGGTGCTGCCTGGTCCGTGGCCTGGGTCTCCATTTGGGTATGGGTCCCTGGACAATGGGGAAGAAACCTTCTCGAACTTCCCCCGCTTCCAGTTCCTGCCAGTTCCAGTGCATTTCCTCGAATTCCAGTTTCGTTGGTTCTGCTTGTTGCTGCGTTACTCTTCTCTCCTCCACCGCCCCGTGGGCCCCCTCCACCGCCCGGTCCAGGCCCTGGGACAGCCCCCCCCGTCGAGGCGGCAGCGCTTTTGCCTTGATGTCTGCCAAAGTTCTGGCCCCTGTTCTTCCCGGACTGGTGAGTGAGATTGGGAAACGTGCCCTGGGAGAGACCTGGCTCGCAGGAAATGGCATTGGGGAGATTCTGGAAACAGGAATCTGAAACAGAGGAGAAAAGCACAACTGAGATACGGGGAACATTCAGCCCACATATTTAAGTGTTTACAGTTGTAGTCTTAGAGAAATAGTTGTCGTTTTGGAGAAGTCCCTTATCTCCCTCACTTGAGAGAAATAATAAAAGACGTGTATGATCCTTTGATGCCTGGCACACCTATTTCAAGCCTATTACAATCTTAGTGGCTCAGACTGGAAGCTCATCCCTTGCAGTTGCAGGCTAGTACATCGTACGCCATTACGCAAAAGCCTATCGAGCTCCCTCAGAAAAAACTGTAAGGTTCTTCCAGAACTCACCACCCATCATCCCTTATTCTAAGTTTCATGCTTTATTCACACGTCATTTATATCCTTTTAAAGGTTTGTGCCAACTTTCTGCTTGATTTTGCATCGCTCTTCTACCCCTGCGTATTTACACTTGCCTCCTCAGGGTCTTTATACAAAGTAATAATAATCTCTCTCCTGTGTATCTGTAGATAAAATGCCAATATTTCAGTCCTTTCTTCTAAAATAGGTTCTCCACTCCCCTCGCCATTCCGGTTTACTTCCTGCAAGTTTGTTCTTTCTAGAATGTAAGTGACGAGAACAGTGCACTAATGTTGGTGCTCTTCTGTCTCCAGTGCCAAGATTTAAGCGAGTATATTTTAAGGTTACATTTGTTTTCATGTATCTGCAATACCTCGCTGCCTCCCACTCGTCTTCTGATTAACCAGTGCACCGCTTCTTTCTTTTTTGAGGAACCACGTCTTCTACCTTACAGGGGAAGACATTTTCAATCGCCCTTAGATTCACTCTATTATTAAATTAAATCCCTTGTTCATCACACTGGAAGGTCAACCATTCTTCCTGTATGAGATTTCAAATCTCTTTTACTGACAGTTTTCCCCCAATTTTCTGTCACTAAAAAATTTTATTAATGCTTTCGCACCTTTGTGCCACACTTATTAACACAGTGTGAATAATGAACCGTTTTCAAAATTTTGTGTTTATATACTTCCTAGTATAACAGAATCTTAACAGGAGAGTAGAATTCTTAGGACCTACAGAAATACTGTAATTAAGCAGTTTTCCATTTACAGCCTCTGCCTAAGGCCCCAAACCAGGGAGCTGAACTTTAACCAGAGCAAATCCTGGGAGAAAAAAGCACAGGCCCTATTCTACAGAAACCAAACTTTTCTATTCACGCAGTCACACATGACTGTAAAAAATTTTTCTGTGCCGGTTCATGCATTTACTATCTACTGTTGAGCACGGCATCACTGAAGAAAGAATCAGTGTTACCCGTACACATGCAATCTTGTAATCGTTTATCCGAAAGAGCATCAAATGTCTGAACGGAGAGTGTTTATCGCTTGCCGACGGGGTGTTTCCTGGCAGTTTAGTAGTAGGTGCGCGGTCCTGTGCCCCGGCTCTCAAACGCAAGAGAACTGCGTTGTCCAGGCCAAAGTCTGGAACATTTCTTTCATGCTTCCTTTCCCTCTGCCCTATCCTAGTGGTGATTTATTGCCCGTTTCCTTTCCTGTGTAGGTTCTTGCTAAGACTCAGCAGCTGAAGGGCTTTTGGAATTGAGATGTTCCCTAAAATAGTCTCTCCCTGCTACCTAGTCTGACCCTACACTGCATTCAGCTGGTACAAATGAGGACTGCATTACTTCTAGGTGGTCTTTTTTTAACCACAGGTAAATAATTTAGTTTCTGGACTTGATATAACGGAGGAAGCTGCTGATAGCATTCTTTCTGGACCTGTTACTGTACTGCTGGGGATACTCATGTGCCTGCAATGTTCTGTGCACTCCTGAGCTACGCCTTGCTTTGTTATTACAGTCTCACAGCTCCTCCGCAGCTCTCCCCAGTTTCCACCGTGAGCTACAGTACTCCCTGTTATACTCAGTCTTGGGCTTTCACACAATTGTTCGAGCTTCCGCCCAAGAGATCTTTTAACAGATGCGTGTGTACGAGAGATACTTAACTGAAGTTACGTTGATCAGCCAGCCAGCAGATTCCCTTCAGCAAACAGCTGAGCCTTTACATTTTTGGATCAAATATTTCCATCACTAAAATAAGCAGGTAATGTAATTTACGTGCATAACTAGAACTGACAAAGCATTTCTGTGAGAGCCACCAGCTGAACTGACCCACGTAAGGCTGGGTCTGTCTTCATTTCTCTTTACCTTGAGTGGGGGTACCCGTGGCACCGGGGTCCCCGCTGCAGGAAAGGACTGTGGCTGGGTCCGAAATGCCTGGTGGTGCTGACAGTTCTCCGTGATGCGTGGCTTTTTTTCAGGAGTGGTTAGAGCTTCTTCACGACTCTCTGACTTCCTCTTACGGGCTTCAACACTGACTTCCATGTCTTCATTTACAGGGGACTTCTTTTCTGGTGTTTCTGGAGCAATCACTGGGCTTTTCACATTTGCTACTACTTCACCTGCCTCGGGGCTCTTTGGTTTACTCGGGGCCAAAACTGAGGTACTGACAGTCTCTTTCGCTAGCGCTTCCTTGGATGCAGCGTGCTTTCTCTCTTCTCCTGGCTTTTGATTAGCGGCAGTTTGTGGTTTCTCTTGAATGGATTCTCCTTGGACTCTCTCTTTCACAGGGAGAGAATGGTCGCTAGGTTTCACTGCACACCCATCCGGGGAAACCGAGGCCTCTGCAGGTTTGGCTGGTTTTGGCTGCGTGTCCTCTCTTCTTTCCTCTCCTCCTTTTTTCATCGCTGGTGCTTCCTGGACTGCTTGTGCTTTAGACTCTAACGGAGAAGTAATCTCCTCTTTGAGTGGTGCCAGAGAGGCTGGCGTGCATTTTGGCTGTTCAGCTGCTGGATTTTCAGTCTCTGTCTCGGCAGGGCTGGTGTTTGCTGTCAGTCTCTTGGACTCTTCAGGACTTAGTCCAGAACTATGAAAAGTCAATAAATAAATCAATAAAAAAAGAACTGTTATTTTGCAAAACATTCTTGCAAAAAGCATACTATCCTTAGAAAACTGAGAGGGGATTCTCTACATACCACACCCTAAATAAATATGTCTCACACACCTCATTCCACGCCACAATCTTTGAAAACCTTCCATACTGTTAGTACTTCCACATGAAACGGAACTCAATAGCAAAGTTTAAAACCAACTAAATGAAATACACGGAACACGGATTAGATCTAGTCCTCTATCCAGATATCAATTTTCCAGGCTGCAAATCAAATGAATTTGGCCAACAGTAAGTATTCCCTTCATTAGCCACCACAGACATATCTCTGCAGCATGCGAACAACCCCACACAGCTTGCATCTGACTTAAGCTCATATGGTGACATTTGCGGAAAGGGACACTGAAAAGTGTCCCACCATTTTTTCCAGGGGAACACGGCTAGTGCCAGAACCACTGACGTACCCTCAGCTTAGAACTGGCATTGCTGCCTTTCTCCGTAATCAAAAAGCTGGGAGTATTTCCCTGTGTTACTCATCCATCTTTATTTGTGAAAGAAATGAACAAGTTGGGAATCTAATTCCCAGAGTGATGTCTGATTTAGGATTAACTTCGTCCATCCCTCTTAACGAAATATCAAATTTGGGTTTTTTGCCCAAACACGAACCCATGAAGTCTGAAGAAGCCAGCCTGACGAATCTATGGGACTGATTTCTACCAGGCAAGTTCTTAGGAGCTAGAGAGAACTGAAGTCCTACTGTTGTTTGTGCATCTCACCTCCACGCTGTCCTGCTGTCCCCTGTCCCCCTAAAGCTGCAAGAATATGGCTGTCACCTTTTATCTTCCAGCACAGAGCTCCGTGCATGTTTACATCCTGGTTTTCAACACTAAGAGAACTGGATAAGTTAGCTGAGTAAAGCTCTTTGCAAATGACACTAGATCACTTGCGTTCTCAACCTGGCATATTCCTTCACTTAGTACTGCAGCCTGCCGTATGTACACGCACACACAGCGGCCTCCTACTCACCCACGAAACCCCAAACCATCAGACCACAGAATGACAAAAACAGGGCTTGCCATAATCCAAATGCTCTAGAGGGTTAAAACATCATAGACGAACGGGAGGAAAACTGGCTGACAGTCCAAGGACAAGCATAAAAGCTATCTGTCAAGCTGCAGGGTAAGAAATTGCTTATTAGTTATTTATATGCATCCGTTTGTTTTCAAGTTTCTTAGTATAGTTATTCGCACAGAAACCTGAGATCGTCTCCATAGTCCAAGAGGATGGGAAAATCTTGAAGCAAAACCAAACACAGAATAAAAGGCTTGCAGCCGTGGGAGTTTAACCGAATACGTGTCTGATTGAAGATGTGGGGAAACACAGAAGATTTCACGTAGCAGGTGACTTACTGCAAGGCAGGGGATGCTCAACCACCACACCGTGGATCTCCAGAATCCTGACACTAGAAAAACCCCAAGAGGGGAGTGACTCAAGGTGTCACAGTAAGGAGTGGGAAAAGTAAAGATGTAAAGTCTAAAGGACATCCTCGCCTAAGGAAAACAGTGCTACACTGATTAAAGCATTAGGAATCATGACAGCAAACGCATCGCTTCTGACCTAGATCACTCAGGCAATTTCTCAGTTCCGTGGCAGCGAGACGAAGCTAGAGACCTTTTTCAGGTTTCAGGACTAATGAAAAGTAATGTTTATTGAGGGACAGCACGCTACAAATGCAGCAACAGGTACTTCTGGACTGGCGAGGCGGGATTAAAAAAGAGAGTTGAATGTCTTACCTCTGACCATAGTAGCTCTCAAAAAAACGTTCCTTCCACAGCTCGACCTTCTTTTCCTTTTCTATTTCTTGCCGTATTCTTAGCTGCATTTCTGGTGTAAACTCACCTGCAAAATGCAATAAAGGGTATTTTCAGAAAAAGCTGTGACTAAAATGAATCAGGATAACCACAGGAGCCTTCAGGCTTGCAGGTGAGAGTGCGATCGCACAGAAGTCCCCTTCACCGCTTGTGACACTGTAGCCCTGCCTGTGGTAGCTCAGCGTTTCTCCTGAGCTGCCAGGTGTTTCTCTGCCGCCTGCTCCTTGCAGTGGATGGGCAACAGCTTTATGCCTGACGGACACAACTCCTTTCCCTGTCAGCGTCCACTCTGGCTGCCAATAGATGCTTTATGTGAAATAGCGCTTAGTAAATGAATACAAATCTATACGCAAATGTATGTTGTATGTACGCAGGCACTACGTAACTGCCATTTTTTGAAGGATCTGAAGATATTGCCTATGCAGATGGCAAAGCAATATGGATGGCACCTTGAAACGACAGTCGTGGATGGCTGCGGTGAAACATGCATGCAAGAACATCAAAGACTTCTTGCCCAGCACAAATGACAGAAAATATTTCTGGCGACGGATGCTATTATGTCACAGGCAGGTGGGAATCAAAAAAAACCCTCTCACACATCTGAAGCGCACTTTTCACACCTAGACGTATTGCGGTTTGTAAGAAATGTTTCCTAATGTCAAGTCTAAGGTTTGTAAGACCATATGTTAATATTTTAAGAGTTCATCATTAGACAACAAGAAAGCTTGTTTTTTTGACAGAGCTGCAGTGCTTTGATGATAGACACGTGACCTTAAGCCTCAAGACTTCATTCGTTCTCAAGGTTTATCTAGTTCACACCATTTTGCTTGTGCCCTTTAGCACTGGAGGAAACAGTTACTAGAATCAGATCTTTCCCAACACTGCAGTTACCAAAGAGAGGGGATTCCTTAAAGAGATTAACAGAAATTGGATACTTCCATCACTGCACAGTTTTTCTCTCAACAGTTTTCTCCCATCAAATAAGGGGATCGTTAGAAATTCTTGCTGAGTTTGTTCTCCATGCAGTTATCAAAATATGTCCGAAGGAAGCCAAGAGTGCCCCTTTTTAGTACACTGTTACTTGTCAGGATTAAATCAGGACAGTCATCTTTTTATTGCAGCAAGAACAGAGGGCCCAAAACAGAGTCTCTGGTACATCAACTTTCTTTTCTATTTCTGTATAAACTTGGTCAGGTAAATAAATACAGAGAGTCTGCTGCATCGAACGTGGATCGCCTGCCTTTACTTAGAGTAATTTAGCAACAGGGTACAAAATTAATTCATTTGAAACAGTCTCTGTTGTCGCAGTGACTTCTTGGATTTTCATTGCTGTGGTTATGCCACCTTTGTCTCCCAGTTGGGAGAATTCAACTAAAAGCATACATCTGCATCAGCCTAGGCTTGCACTGAGCGCAAAGCAGAGTGAAAACCTACGGTCAAGTGGAAGCAATTTACTTATGAACATCTACCTGAAGGTTGATGGGGACCTTGGGAGGTCTCCAGTCCAACCTCCAGCTCAGAGTAGGGGCAGCTTGGCCTCCACCAGGTCACTCAGGGCTCTGACCAGTTGGGTCTTGAAAACCTCCAAGGATGGAGGTGGCACAACCTCTCTGGGCCGCCGCTCCACTGCTGGACTGTCCTCATGGGGAAAAAGCTTTTCCTTATGCCCCATCTGACTCGTGCCTGTTTTCTCTCATCCTCCTGCCATGCACCACTGTGACAAGCCTGGCTCCATCTTCCTGATGGCCTCCCTGTAGGTACAAGGGGGCTGCTATCAGGTCACTCCTCCCCAGCCTGTATTGCTGCCAGGGGCTCTTCCTTCCCAGGGGCAGGATCCTGCTTCGGTCCCGCTGGATGGCAGCCCTGACCTCGAGCATATTGACCGGTCCCTCCAGTTTGGTGCCCTCCACAAACTCCCCCAGGGTCACTGATAAAGAAGGCAAATGGCACAGGTCCCCGGACAGGCCCCTGCAGGCTCCACTTGTCACCAGCCTCCAGCCGTGAACCACGACTCCGAGCTTGACCGTCTGACCAGCTGTTCACCCATCTGGTTGTCCACCCACCTAGACCCTAGTGTCCCAGCTTGGATACGAGAGTACTGTGGGAGACAGCTATCAAAAGCTTTGCTTAGGCTGAGGTAAAGGACGCCCACTGCTCTCCCCTTGTTCACAAATTCAGTCACTTCTAATGCAGTCAAGCTATTCAGGCATGATTTACCTGTGGTAAAACCATGCTGACTGTTTCCAATCACCTTCTTCATGTGCCCAGGGAAGTGCTCCAAGAGGGCTCGCTCCATGACTTTCCCAATGATGACACTGAGGCTGACCAGGCCTGCATATGTTAAATAATACTGTGGGTGACCCCAAACAGCATTGCTATGAATTGTCAGGAGTAGCTGAAGAAAGCCTACAGGACTGCTCTGCCCACAGTGGCACCATGCTTTAGTACTTGAGCAGAGATACAGTGCTCGGTGAGAACATCAGTGGAGATCTTCACTCTCAGTGTTGCAAGCTTTACCACCGGAGCAGGTTCTACAGCAGTTTTACTCTGTTGAGAAAGTCTTTGCGTAAATGTAGCTGCACCCTCTAGATGTGTAGACGTGAACGGACAAAAGGTCTTCTAAGAAGCGCTAAAGGGGAAACACTAAATGATGGTGACTAAAACTGGGGGTGGTTTTAACAATTAAACAGATGAGACAGCTGAGTTCTATACCTTCCTGTTTACTGGCATAGATACACCCAGAATCTACAAAATATAAAGGGTTATTCATACCGAATTGCATACATTTTCTACGGAAAGCCTCTTTAAAGTCAATCACCTGGGCATGAGTAAATGATACCCCCTTCTTCTTAAAGTGAGTCACAATTGGTGCTATAGTCTTTATAAAAGCTCTGGTGACGGGCTGCATGGTTCAATTCTGTAGAGGAAACGGTCCCTACCCGCAATGAGTGAGCGCACTTCTGATGATGTGATTTGATCAAATCACGGATTTACACACCTCTAAGTTCAAGATGCAAATGATTGTTGAAGGTGCAGAAGTCCTATAGATTAGTAAATTCAGCACTTCATGTTATATAAAAAATTACGGCTCAAAGGACTGACCATACCAACTGTGGCTAGACGACTTCGCTGGTGACAAAATGCATTACTCTGGGAATATAACTTACCTTCTCTACTGAGCTTAGCAGTGGGCTGTATTTAGCTACCACAACTTGAGACTAACACAGCTCTACTGTCATTTCAACAAGATTTTAAACACATTTTTCCTTCTTTTCTCACCTCTTCCAGAGACTTGCTCATTTTTCCACATGTTAAGTTCAAAAGAGAACTCCTTACTGCAGCCCCCTCTATGACTTTGAGATTACACAGTTCTGGGCTTGCATTTGCTCTCATGGGCTGCATTGACTACAGCTGTCTACCTAGTAAGTCACGCCAGTGCTTCAACTTCTCCATAACATATCTTTTACACATTCCCTGAAACATTCACTAGCTGAAAGCCTTCCAGCGTTTTGCTTCGTTGTCTGGGGAAGTTTTACCTTCTGACAACCTCTCCTTCCAGCCTTGGGCAGCTGAAGTGAAGAACTCGTTGTTGAGCGCAGAGCCACTCAGCTTCATCAAACCATCCGCCCCAACCTGGAATAGATGACAAACCAAATGGTATTAACTAGCTGGAAAGACAAATGTCACACGTTGTCACATGGGATCTGAAAACAGAGCAAGAGTCCCAACATTGCCACAAATCTCTCTGCCTTTAACTCACTCGAAGAAAATAAACAGCCTTCTTAAGGCTGTGCTTAGCCAAGTCTGGGACCTAGGAGGCTGTGGTACATTTTCCTCATCCTTGCTTTAGCCCAATCCTCTTATAGTCCTGCTGCTGCACAAACACACATGAGCAGCAGACGGTACAGGTGGCAAGGAGAAGCACAAGGACACAGAACAGCATAGCCTCTGAAAAGCTTCTTCAGATGCCTTTCGCCCTGCAAAATGAATGCAAGGTATCGCCTGAACTACCATCCAAAGCAACAGCTCTGCTGTCTTCTGGTGAACATAAAAAAGTGCGTGAAGGAAAAGCAAGGACATAAAAGGTGTCACATAAAAGTAACTTTGAAATGTATATAATCATAACCATGGATGCTTCAGGAAAAACAGGACAGATGAAGCTCAAAACCCCTTCTGTCTTTGAAATATGGTTAACCAAATAGGGCAGTCATGCTACAGAGAGTAGGACATAAATGAGAAAGCATGAGGCTAAGACTGGAACATAGCACGGTGGGAAATTATAACTAGGGTAATAAAATATATATGAGGTTTGCTTTTGCTCTTTATCCCACAGAAGTAAATGTGGAATTTCTCTACCAGAAACACAAAAATACACATATCATTCAGTAAGTCGCAAAAACTTGCAGTGGGCAAAACTGATGTGCTTCCATTTCTTGCATAAATAATACATCGGAACAAACAAGCAAAATCCAACTGTCCAAACGTAGGACACATCTGATTACACTGGGAGATCTGTGCAGCAAACATTCAACAGTGCAGGATTTGATAAGGAGAAACACTGCTCTTCCTGAGGCAGCATTTGTGATGCAGGTAATTAAGATGATGGAAGTGACCTAATAGAAGGTTTTGTAGGTAAGATTTAGTTAGAGATTTTTAAGTTTTAAGTTAGGAGCAGCCGTTATAGGGATTACAAAAGCAGATATTTATTTTCTAGTCCAAATATCCATTGATCGACCACAGAGAGCAGAATTCACAAGACTATCCTCTACTGCACATACGGTACTGCCTGTTCCTTGTGTTGGAGGACAGACAACTACTGCAGGGCTGACTGGGTCCTGCCTCAAAGCGCCCACTTTCTCTTCTACAGAAGCACCAGCTGCAATAGCTCAGACTGAGTCACTGCCAAGCAAAACACAACAGATATGTGACCTTTCACAATTGGCATGTCCAACGCCTTCACCTCTTCTCCTGTTTACTACAGCAAAGTCTGACGTTTCATAAAGCACACATCACCACTTGATGTGGTGGGCTGCTCTAGGAAATTTACTACAGTGAAATGTAAAATGTGTCCTCCCAGGAGCCAAGCAATACTATTGAATTAATCAAAATTTGTTCTCAGTCAAATTCTAATTCAATTTAAGGACAATTAAACTTAAAAGTCAGGACGGAAATGTCTTACCATCTGCTGTGAGGTTCTTGCCAGTAAACTCCAGCTGCAAACTCCATCACATCATATTTTGACACATACCTAATTATTACAAAGGCCACAGGACTTATAAAACAATTCCTTCAAATATTTATTGGGTCAACCTTGGACTAACAAGTCCCCGATGAATGCTGGTTGAAGATCAGAATTTAGGAGACAACACAAAATATTAGAACTCCTCCTAACTCTGAACGAACACTATCTGTTCAGCAAAGCGTCCTCTGTAAAGCAGACCACAGTGCAGCCGCCAGAGCCATGCGCATTATTAACATTGTGAGAACCAAAAGAGCAGCACAGCTGTGAAGATGGGTATCACTTCACGAAACACGGACATCTGTGCTGTAAGTGTCTACGTCTAAGCTGGTGTCCCTTCACAGTTTATAGTGATCGAGTCAACTGAGTGTATAGAGGTGGGGATTCAGTTCATCTCGTCCTGAAGTAGACCCCTGTATTTGGTCACAGGCTCTTGATTGTACCAACTGGATTTCCACTTCCTATAAAAGGAGCCCAGAGTAACTAGCTGAGATGTAGACTCCCGGGAGGTGACCGAGGTGTGTAAAGCCAGGCACCTGGTACTAATCTGAACACCACACAGAAAAGTATCTTCAAGGGACGTGCAGATCTGAGACAGGACAGACAAAAGATTTCCATCTGGAGTGGCATCTTGAAGCCAGCTTTGATATCTAAAGAACATTTAAAATGGCTCCAGGCACATACGTTAAGGCATCTGAATTAACACCCCTACAACTGAAGTGGAAGCATAGTGCAGAATCCCACTTTGCTCTGAAGCTCCCAGCTGGTTGGGGTAGGAATGCTGAAGACAAACGTAACATATGAATAAGGTAGAATCGTTTAGGTTGGAAAAGACCTTTAAGATCATCGAGTCCAACTGTTAACCTAACACTGCCAAGTCCACCACTAAACCATGTCCCTGAGCGCCACATCTACACGTCTTCTAAATACTTCCAGGGATGGTGACTCCACCACTTCCCTGGGCAGCCTGTTCCAAGGTAAAAGGAAGGAAGCGTCCTTGTTCTATCTACAACTCTTCTGGTATTGAGCATAAACAGGTTGAACTTCACTTCCTCAGCTCATTGTTTTTCCCTCCTTTTACATGCAAGTGCAACATTTGTTCTTTTCTCGTCTCTTGGTATCATCCCTGCCTTCCACAAGCCGCTGAAGAAAACGGCTATAATGTTGAGATTGCTTCAGGCAGTTCTTTTAGGTACCCCTTCGGATGAAATTCACCAGATCCAGCTGAGTTGAAATAACTCATCAAAAAAGTCTCTTAGCTGTTCTTTCAGTACTGAAGGCTGAGTTCTTACCCCCTTGTCACTCATGTTAATTGTTCCAGTTATCACCAACTGTTTAGTGAAGAGCTCAGTGAAAACCTTCACCATTTCTTCTGTGCCACTCCCAGAGCAAATGAACCCATTCCTCCCCACCGAGTACTTTTCCGCTTTTCCAAATTCCTCTCTTCACACACAAAGAGATCTTAGACAGACAATCCATAAAAATAAACTGCCTTCAAGGCTGACTCACTCTGCACGCTTGGTACCTTTAATCTAGCGTGTGTTTCAGGTCAGGACACAAGCTCTCTGGAGCAAGTCAGGTCTACTCTGCAATCTGGACGGTGTGAATATGCAACAGAAAACTCATTCAGTTTTCACTTTACCAAATTCAGCATTTGACAGCAGTGACACAAGGTCATGAGAAACAGAAGAGGCTGGAACTAAATGGCAGCACCTGTTTAGGTATTCTATGGGAAGGCACCAGTCTAAAAGGCTGCAGGGTTAATCCTGTATTGAAGAGTCCAGGAGAGGACAGGAGAGAGGAAGATGCTGAAACCGCTGCATTCCCATCACTCCTGGCCCTCTTCAAGTCCAGCATAACAGAAACATTGCTCTCGCTGTAGCTGGGAATATGGAGTTGATTAAACAGAATTAAGCCACTGGTTTATCAAACCTGAATTCTTTTTTTCTGGTAGCAACAAATACCCAAACGAATCCCTGAATAATTTTCCAGTGTTTTTTACACTGCGCACAAGAGAAAAAGTCTATCCCATTAGACATAAACGCAGTATTTGGATGTCTAGTATGAATTACTTCTGGAGATGCTCCCTACTGACACCTAAGAGCCTAGCTTCTCTCCACAACAGAAACCACGACATACCTGCCTGTCCACCTCCGGCAGCAGCAGCAGCAGGCGCTGCTGGCATTCTGTAGGCAGAACAGAGAACGTATGCTTGTTGATCAGTGCCCGCAGGTTTGTGTTCACCAGGATGGAGTCGGGAGTTTCCACATCAATTTCAGCACACTTTGTTCTCTTCAGCTGCCCTGCAATGAACCACAAAGATGTAAGTAACATCTTACCTAAGAGAGGATTAAAGGCTCCTTTGGAGTTCACTGTGCCTGAGATTTTCAAAATGCCACCTTAGTAATCCATTTCAAACCTTGACTTGAAATATATGTTTTACCCTTGCACACACAGTTAAAAACAAAATGGGGGAGGTCCTTTCCAGCCCCGCAAATTTCCATACCTAATATATTGTAGCCTGCATCAGTTCACCTAACTTTTGTAGGAATCCTGGCTATCTGGGGACTGGCAAGGAGTCTTTTTCAGGAGGGTTTCTAGAACTGCTTTTAGCCGCATCAATTTTCTATTTTAAGCCTCTAGTTAAGGTTAGTTTGTTCCTCAGGATTTCTTCTTGGACTTTCCTACTTTGTTCTCAGCAAAAGCATTTCAGAAGAATTCATCAGCTCATTGTGCTTGCGTAGAAACCACAACACTAGACAAAGCCGTAAAAATGAGTAACTACTCTCTTTTCTTTTCTGTCTTTGAAAGCCAGCAAGTCCAGCATTAACCACAGCCAGCTTCATGTATGTCCTGCAAATTCAGGGAAGAATAACGAAGAAAGCATTTGTGCTGTGTACTCCATTTCCTTTGGATTCATCCACTGTCTATTACTGGCAAAATACCATGTGTTTTGAAGCTTAGATTAAAAGTGCATTATTAGCAAAAAGGGTAATATTAAGACAGACCCTGCTTCCCCGACTTCAGGGATGACAGCAATTATTTTTAAGGTAACAGTACCTAACAAAATAAATGCCACAGAGGCTTGTTTCATTAGGGCAAGTTTGCTCTATTAGAAGTCATTCAGAAAATGGCTCTGCAGGTTTATAATCTACTTAAGTTGCAGAATTTCATAATTACAGGGTACAAATGAAACATGCCCTGAAAAGTGTCCATTTTCACCAGTGATAAAGAAAATCTAGGATGATTAGCATAGATGGAGACCTCAGATTACCCTTAAGTTCACCGAGGTCAATTCCATCATTGGTACATGTAAAAGAAACCACAAAAGGTCAGGAGGGCTGAGAAAGACCTAACCTCAGTGAACGGGAAGGAAGCCAAATAACAGTGGGGTCTGACGTATAAAGATCTGGGAAGGAATTTCTTTTTTTTTTTTTAATGCTATCAAAATGTCTCAAGTACATTAAAAAGCCCGCTAAATAATGCAAGTCCTTTTTTTGCTTCTCAAACAGCAAGCTGCAAATTCACAAATAGGAACCCCTGATGATAAGAAATGAGAAAAGGCTTATTTGCATATGTAAGGTTTGAATTATTTATCCTGACTCACACAGCATACTAGCAGTACCTTCCGGAGTTGACCGAAGTCACTTTAGCATTTTACTCAATTTTGCTATTTAGGCTTTTGTTCCGTCATCAGAGCAACCAAATCTCTGGAAGCAGAAAAAAAAATATCTTACTTGCATGGAGCCTGTCAGATCTCTGGAATGGTTTCTTCCCCAACCCTGGCAAGGAGTTATCAAGCTTAACAGAGGGAGAGGAACTGGAGGTGGAGTTCTGAGGGCTGCTTGACTGTCCATCTGACTGCTTTCCTTCCCAAGCTGCACAGGAAATTGAAACATTTTAAACACAGGGATGTACAAAGAAATATTACATGAGACATCTGTTTGGACTGAAATAAAGATTCTTTAACGTGCATACCCTAATCCCAGCAGCTCTGGGACAAGCACTTCTGGGACACTTATATTCCTTTATTCTTGTAGCACTTACTTCCCAACAGGCTGAAAGTAGAAGACCCCTTTGTAGCTATCAGACTATCACAAAATAAAGGGATGGACAGCCATTTCATTTATGGTTTGAGTCTATTTCCCAGTTAGTCCCATCTTATTTCCTGCCTATATCCAACCCAGTAATGATCTTGTTAAAACTTCCTTTCAGAGGCAGCTTTCATTTCTGTTAAGAGTTCACTGTCAGGAAAAATCTCTTCATACTTTATGTGTACTTTCTAAATTTTAACCTACTATTGTAGCTTTTGTTCTTTTAAGACCACCCTCAGTCATTCCTCCTCCTCTTTCAAATACTCAAGAGGTATTTTCACGTCCTCCTCCAAAGTCACAGCTTAGCCAAACTAGTCAGATTTCACCACTACGATTTCTCCTTACAAACCACTGCCACCCACATTCTCTTTTGTATAGCAGTATTTTTTCTGCCGGTGGGAAGAGCTTCTTCCCTAGATTCTCCCTGCCTTCCTTTCCCTCCTCTTCTTAAGTGAGATGAATTAAGAACATAAGCTGGTCTTCTCTCTGCTCTCTTTAGGTTTACGTGTAACAACAGGTACACACTCAAGTATGGAAAGGTACTGAAGTCCCATACCTCGAAAGAGAAACTCCACAATACACGTGATTAAGTCACAAACTGAACGAATGCTGGCTCTGACTAATGACTTGCACTATTAATTCCTTCACCCAGTCTGTGCCAGCTGTGTTCCCCATCTGCCTCTCTTACTCTCCTCTCTGCCTGGTGCCTTTCCCCCTCCTTCTCTTCCTTACACTTGCTGTTCCAGTTCTGACTAAATACATCCCTGAAATTGTGGCATCAGTGTTGCTTTCTATCAGGATATTGTTCTCTCTCCACTTGTATGCTTAATTTACTTCCCCATCTCAATATAACCCACTGGCCTGGGCTGTGAGCTATTTCTATGTACTATCGCATGGATAGGAGGGGAAAAAAGGACTCCATGGATGCTGATGAAAAACATACAAATGCCACTCATTCTGCAGTAACATTCAAAGGCTTTTACAGTAATCGGTGTTCAGTCTAACTGGGGGCTGCATAAACGTACACTGTTCCTACGCTAAATCAGTCGAATAAGTCCGTACTAAAAGCTGAGAAATATGGCTTTCCTGACACCACATGTGAAATGAGTTCAATCCTTAACTTCTTTCTGTCCCTCACAATCTTTAAGGTAGGAAAGCTCACGTGGCTGGATGCTGGCATGGATAGATACCAACCCTTCAGGACAGACAGGCAAGGAAGATGAGTCAAGAAGGTTGTCTCTACCCATACAAGCCTGTGGGACAACACGAGCTGAATCCAAGGGTCCTGGGGGAGCCCACCAGGGTCCCTACAAGGCCTCTCTCTACCATCTTTGAAAAGAAATGAGGATCGCGGGAGATTCCCCACAATTAAGAAAGGCAAACGTTGCACCCACCTTCAAAAAGGGCCAAATGGATAACCTCAGAAAATACAGACTGGTTAGCCCCACTTTTCTGCCTGGGAAAATCATGGAGTGACCCCTCTTGGAGCACATTTCTGGTCACACGAAGGAGATAATGATGAATGGAAGCAGCCAGCATGGACTTACCATGGGTAAATCATGCCTGACTGGCCTGGTTGCCTTCTGTGATCATATTACTGGATTTGTAGATGAGGGAAGAGAGGTGAATGCCATTTACCTTGACTTTAGCAAGGCATTTGACATTGTGTCCCACAATACTGTACGCGAGCTGGGACATTAGGGACTGGATGGGGTGGACCACCAGATGGGTAAGCAGTGGGTGAGGCGGCCAGACTTGGAGAGTCATGCTCCGTACTCTGCCTGGAGGCTGGTAACGAGTGAGTGCCTCAGGGCACCGGTCCTGGTTCACATTTTTATTTGGGGGAGGCAATGAAGCACTTGCTCAAGTTTGCAGGTAACGCCAAATTTGCGAGGACCAGTCACTACGCTCAAGGGCAGAGCTGCCACCAGTGGGACCAAGCCAGGCTGGAGGAACAGGCCAGCAGGAACCCTACAAGGACAAATGCAAAGTCCTGCCCCTGGGAAGGAAGAGCCCCTGGCAGCAATACAGGCCGGCGGCAGCTCTGCTAGAAGGGACATGGGGGTCCTGGCAGACACAACCTGAACTTGTGCCCTGGCACCAAAGGCCAACAGCATCCTGGGCTGTAGGACCACAGCCAACAGATCAAGGGAAGCGATTATCCCCCTTGGCTAAGCGCTCGTTAGACCACACCTCGATTCTGTGTCCTGTTCCGGCACCTCTAATACAAGGAAGACATAAAAACCAGGACTGAGCTCAGCTGGGGGCCACCAAGATGCTCAAGGAACTGCAGCGTTTGCCCTGTGAGGAGAGGCTGAGGGACTGGAGCTTGTTCAGGCTGGAGAAGAAAAAAGGTTGAGGGATACCTTGCAGTCACCACTCTGTTCCTACCAGGAGGCCAGCAGGAAGATGGAGCCAGGCTTGTCACAGTGGTGCAAGGCAGGAGGACAAGAAAAAACAGGCAAGAGTCAGTCAGGATATAAGGAAAAATTTTATCCCCATGAGGACAGTCTGCAACAGAGCAGTGGCCCGGAGAGGTTGTGCCACCTCCATCCTTGGAGGTTTTCAAAGATCTGACTGGCCAGAGCCCTGAGCAACCTGGTGGAGGCCAAGCTGACCCTGCTCTGAGCTGGAGGTTGGACTACAGGCCTCCTTGAGGTCCCTACCAGCATGAGTGGTCCTATGATTCTAACATATTTTCGGAGTAGTACTAGAAAGGCTGGGTAAGTTGACACGCAGAATGTACAATAGCTTGCAACCGTAATGTAGCAGCAAAATATGGGGAAGTCAGAGAGAAAAACAGCAGTAACAAAAATTAAATAGAGATGCTGGAAGAAAATAGTTCACCCGTGATTGAAGTCGATGTGGCAATAGTTTGGGAAGTGTGAAACCAAAATAAGAACAGAAACCGATATGCCGTGACCTCCAGCCCCAGAGGGCTGACATGCAGTGCCTGGGAAGGGCCAGAGAGCAGGCCTCCAGCAGCAGGATCCTGGCCATAGCCAGGGAAGACAAAAGCCTCATTAGAATCACAAAAAATAAAGACACCAAACAATACTCTTAAGTACTCTAAGTAACACGAGTTTGGATTACTTACTCCATTAGTCTATTTTAATAATTACTCTTATATTAGCTAACAATCTTACAAAATATTCTATCTGTTTCAGTCCCTCTTAGGTCTCCCCTGTTCCTACTTCCCTAAGTGAAGATGCACTTCCTCCTGGGGCAGGGAGCTCAGGAGATGGGGTCCTCCAGGAACAATATCTGCCTGTTGTGCTAATGAACCATTCAGGTTTAATCCTAGTTAGCAGAGAAATTGCAAAAGGCTTTTAAACTATCATTTTATGCTAAAGACTTCATACACCTGGCACTGCATTTTCTTAAATACCGTCACGGGAAATGTGTAATTTTCTACTGGATTAATTTTGGCTTCCTTCTCAGACCACACCAGCCTAGGTGTAAAGGGCACAAGCACAGTTTAGGACTGAATTTCAAACAAGCAAGATGATATTAACCTTTTTCCCCTTAACCTTTTTGAAAGGGTCTGAACTACAAAGCTGCCTGGGAACAACAGGCAACCTCATCAACTGTTAAATACTTACTCTGCTATTAAATGATGCATGAAGTACAGCTGATAAATATGCCTGTTCCTTTCAATCGGATATACGGCGCACAGCCGCAACCTTGCATATGTCTGAACAGATGTTACAAGAAACATTCCAGCAGTATATAACCAGCAAGCCAGGACAGATTGGTCTAGTTTTGGTTTGGATTTGTTTAGAGCTATTTGGAAAGTGAGAGTAAACAAACACACTAGAACACAAAGAATTTTATACTAAAGAAAATCAGCATGAGATGAGGAAACATCTCCAATTATGTAAAAGGCAGTAGGGAGAAGAAATCAAATAACCTGCACTCTGTGTCCATGGTGGATAGGACAGGAAATCTTGGGTGTAAACCCAAGGAAGCAAGAAAACATTCTGATTAGAGGCTAAGAAAAACATTTTACGGATGAAGTTAACACAGCAGGAAGGGCAAGACTTGCTGGGAGTTTTTGGTGTTTGCATCGATGGCATCTCTCAGAACAGACTGAAGAAAACATCTGTCAGGAATGCATCATAGACCCTGCCCTGAGGAAAGGATGTGGACTAGATGTGCTCCCAAGGGTACTCACTCCTAGGCCTAGTTTCTGATGGCTCTGTGGAATTTCTTAACCTGATCAGTGAATTTCAGCTAAACGTTCATGTAATTACACCAAGAATATGCAAGAGCAAAATGTTTTTCATGCTAATATTGTCTTACTGCTGTTGTGTAATCCTCTCTGGCTACTTCTACACCAGTAAACAGAACGGTGACATCGGGCATTCCCCTGGCTCTAAGAACAACTGGCACAAACTGGCCGTGTTCACATCCTTACCCTTTCTGTCTCCCCCAGGCGGGGTTGGCCACGTTCAAATTGCCTGCAGGGAACGATGTTTGGCCTGTGCTGAACGCCAAGGATTGCCTAGGAGCCTGCTAGTTTGTCCTGAGCCAAAGCTATGTCAGGGAATTTAGCGGAATGGATTGACTGAGTTCCAGTTCTTGTGCCCAGTACTTTGGCAATGATTAACTCAGTAGCAGAGATGCAGCTTCTCTCTCCACATGCAGTTGCTTCTTGCTCTAAGCACAGGCTTGTTGGCTGAACGACTGACTGTTTGGAAGGGGAAGGAGTTTTGGGACTGGAATCAGGTTAATAGATGCTATAAGAATAATGAAGGCACACCCTCGTTCTGTAGCGGTTTGGTATTACCCATGTTATCAGGCTTTACCAAAAAGTCATTTTTAAGAAGACTGCAAAGAGCTTAGGATTTGGGATCGGAGATGTAATTTTGTTGTGATCTGATTGCTTTCTTTCCCTTTTTTTGGGCAAGCTTCATGACTGCCAGTCTCAGCCACTCCACCTGTGAGAGAACACCTGACAAAAGTCTTTCAGAGTGAGCGTTCTTGCTGTGTCTTCCTCAACGGTTACATTTTCATGATCATCATCTTTCTGAGATAAATCAGGACCAGTCAAGTAAATCAAGGGTGAAGGATGGAAAAACAGGGTAATTATTGAGGGGGAGGGAATTTCCATCTCATAGAAGTGTCTGAGTTTGACAGCACAGCATTTTATCCATGATAATTAGTGTAACAGATGGGGTAGCAGGGCAGGGACTTCAGAAGTACACGCAGCTTAAACAGACAGGGACTGCGTACATGTTGCAGAAGACGGTGAAGCAGGATCAGAATCAGCAGGACTGTGAAGCAGAGGAGGAGATCGTTGCTTTTTGGAAGAGGTCGCAGCCTCAGAAAGCCAGCCCTCTTTTCCTCTTGTACACAATGCTGCTGATCCCGCTCCTGCCTCTCCCTGCTCCATACCACATATACTAACCCTGTGTACCTAAATTCTGTTTATTTCTTAGGTCCCAACACCCCCCTCCCCTTACTAGAAGTAACTACCAAGAATTTATGATAACTAGTGAAATTAATTTCTAATACAGTTGCAGAAGGACTTAATGATAATGAATGACTGAGTGATAAAAGAACAGATATGATTCACTGTACAAAACATGAAGTGACGTACAAAAAGAACTCCCCTAACCTTACATACATACTGTTGGGCCCTAAAATAGAAAATGACAACTCAGGAAGGAGTCTCAGAATCTCAACATTTCTACGAAAATGCTTGCTCTTGTCTGGGTCAAAAAAAGGAAACTGAATGCTAGGACTTGTTAAGAAAAGATGAACAAAATATAGAGTACCAAAATGATGCTATACAGACTCAGAATGCATCTGCACCCTGAGTACAGTTTTCACTCTCTTTTGCAAAAAGCATACAGCTTTCCATATGAGGAATGAGAAAACACAGTAGGACTCTTCAGACTGAAAGAGACGTCTACAAAAGTCACAAGTAGCAAGAAGTTACTGAAGAAACAACAGTTGTTCATTGCCTGCCATTTCTAATTATCAAATTAGAATGAATCAAATAAAGGTATAAGGGGCCTGGCTCAAAACAAACAAAAATGAGTAGTTTTTACAGTGCGGTGTTTGCCACAAGGTATTTACAAAGTCAACATTCCCACCCCCCAGGTTAGGCAAATCCACTGAAAAAAATCCCACCGAGTCCGTGAAATACAAAGACACCTCTTCTTGCTTTGGAGGTCCCCGAGCACAACACGCTTATTAATTCTGGGAGAGCACTACTATGTGCCTACCCTGCTTCTACACACGTCTTCATGCACATGCTATCAGCAGTGTTGGACACGGGTCACCAGGCCAAACGTGTTTGATTTGATTTGGTAAGCCCACTGTTCTGATTTCTGCCCTAAGTATGAACAAAAGGAAATTGGTGCTCCGTGACCTTGGAGATGGTATGGAGCCACTACTGGTGATGTTTACAGATGACTTGACAAATTGTGGATTGATAAAATAATGACGGCGTTAGGCTACAAAGTCATTTACTTGTACAACATGAAAACCAGTCTATACAAACACAGAGGCATTTCTTGCATCTAGAAGAAAACAACTTGAGTCATGCATGCTTGCAGAACCAGGAGCGTATAATGGAAATCAGTTACACTGAAAAGAATTTAGAGAAAACTAACTAGAAGTAACTACCAAGAATTTATGATAACTAGTGAAATGCTGCTGCTGGTAAGGGAGCTAATGCACTGTTGAGTGAACGAGAGAAGAGCAGTGATCTCATTAATTTCTAATGCAGCATAAATGCTGGAAACCTCCTGGGGATCTTTCAGATCAGAACACACATCCTTGGAACAAGACACGAAAGCCACACTACAGAATGAGAGGCCACTTTGGAAAAAAATAAATAGAGAAACACCACCTCATTCGCTTAGCCATGAGAAGTACCTGACCACAGTGTACAGGCAACTATAGGGGAAGGCACTTGTCACAGAAAGAAGCTTTTTAACCAGACAATGGCACAGTAAGATCTATTCAAGATCTGTTCTTAACTGAATGCATTCCTAATAAAATCAAAGCCAGGAAAATGGAAGCTAGACTATTTCAGAAACAAAAAGAACGCCATATGAAAAGAGCGCTTTCTTCTCTCATCCCCTAAGAACAATAAAAGGCAAGTTAAAGAGACACGACAGTAGAAGAACACATAGGAGCGTCACTGCCACGTACCAGATTTTGCAGGTGCGGAGTCACTGCCCGCCTTGACGGCCTTTAGAAGGACATGCTGGTTAGACGACACGGGCATGCCTGCTCTGCATTGCTGCTGCTGTTGCTTTTGCTGCTGCTGTTTCAAGGCCTGGGGGAGAGGACAGAAGAACATGACCAAAGAGAAATTCAAAATATTCTTAGAAATTATTAGCACACAGTACAAACCGCTTGTTTTACAGCAACCAATAGTTGGGTTTGGATTCTAACTACGTCGAAAGTTCAAAACGACTTCTGAAACACATTCAGTTCGCATGGGACACTGATACTGTCTGTTTCAATACACGACTACAAGTGGACAGGTTTCCTACCTTTGCATCTAAAGTAAAAAGTTAATGGTTGCAGAACATCTTAAGTTGTGTTCTTTCATGAAAAAAAATGATCTCTAGAGAATGCAAAGAGAAAGGATTCCAAATCTGGAGTTGGTTCAAGAAGTAATTATACAAATAACTTCAAAGTAGAAGTACCATCATGTAATTCATTTCTGTCTTCTGGAGAAGCAAGGAGCAACTTTACTAAGAACCTTCAATAGAGACACTACCCATTAGGAAGGACTTTTTTAATTAGCAGAGTAATAAAGATTAAAACACTAAAGGGTAGAAAATAAAATCCTTTGTTTCGGGAAAGACTGTTAAGGCCACCATAACACAGCCTAAAAGGCACAAATGACTAAGACAAGGAAGTAAGAAGGCAATTTGGTTAAACTGCAGCATTTACCCAAACCGAAGTGTCTGTTTTCAAAAAATGAAATCCAAACCCAAATAAACTTAACAGCAGAATAAATTACGACAGATCAAGTATACCGCGGAATTTCAAAATAGGAAGTAACAGGAAATATGCTGCATATATACATATACATATAAGTGGGACTGTTAACTAGAGATCACCACTATCTTTAATTAAAAAAAAAAAAAATACAGTTAGAACCAGGAGAGAGAATAAAAATATGCAGGAACCTGCAGAATCTGCCACATGAGGAAAACAGAAGACAGACTGACTTTCAGTTTGTAAAGACACAAATGAGGGATACTGACAACAAAAGGATAGAGATCATGAATGGACATGTTGGATTCCTATTTTCCAATTTGTTAAATACTTCCTATTTAGCCACTTCTACCACAGGTTAGAAAAACATTCAGCCAAACTGAAACACAGCAAAATTCAAAGTCAGTAAGAGGAAGTAGCCTCTGCAATGCACAATTAACCTCCTGTTATTGAGGTCAAAAGTTTTTTTAAAAAAAGGAAGATAAAAATAGAGATGTGGCATTCATATGAGTAACAAAACCCCATAAACAAGTTCAAGAAAGCTTTTACAAATTCTTCTTTGAAGATGAACTGCAGGCAACAGTGAATGTCAAGAAAGCACTAGACTATGAAGACCACTAGTATGTTCAGGGGGTTGTGTGAATCCCATACTTCCATTATGCAAATCACTTCAAATATTTAAGGTTTTGTGTATTCAGTTCCCCTATTCTGTATGCCATTTAACTGCTGCATTTTTCTCGGCTTAGGTAAAACAATTCTGCTTTTGTTCATTTTGTCACCTCAGTTCTTGGTCATGCAGCGCCTGAGGTGCCCACGCCAATGGCGGCTGAGGCATGTGTGGGAAGAGGAGGAAATGATTATTCATTAGAGACCTCTCCTTAAATTCCGTGTCAGCTTCGCACTTACGTTCTCTGTTACAAACATTTGGGGGGTTCTTTAATATATCTGAATTGATATTGAGTCCTGTCATAATCACAGAATAATTCTGGTGGGAAAGGACCTCGGGAGGTCTCCAGCCCAACCTCCAGCTCAGAGTAGGGGCAGCTTGGCCTCCACCAGGTCGCTCAGGGCTCTGGCCAGTCGGGTCTTAGAAAACTCCAAGGATGGAGATGGCACAACCTCTCTGGGCCCCTGCTCCACTGCTGGACTGTCCTCATGGGGAAAAAGCTTTTCCTTATGTCCTGTTTTCCCTTATTCCATTCAACTTACACCCACTGTTCCTCACCGCCCCACTTCCTTCACCATAGCGTGACGAGGCTGGCTCTGTCTTCTCAATAACCTCCTTGTAAGTACTGGGCTGGGGGGAGGAAGGGGAGAGGCCCAGCTCTCCCGTAACACCCTATACCAGGCCCAGCTCCCCCATAACACCCTGTAACAGGTCCAGCTCCCCCATAACACCCTGTAACAGGTCCAGCTCCTCCATAACGCCCCATACCAGGCCCAGCGTCCCTCAGCTCCCCCGTACCAGGCCCAGCTCCCCGTAACACCCCACAGCAGGCCCAGCTCCCCTCAGCTCCAGCCACGCAAGGCCCCACTCCGCCGGCCCACCTCTTGTCAGGAACCAGCCAATCAGGAAAGCGCTAGCCACCCCCCACCCACCAATCAGGCGGCGG